CACTTTTAGTCCTCAGCGTCCAATCACTGCTGCTGACGCCTGCTGTCCCCGAGCCTCTTGATCGGAGCGTTCGGTAGCTATGCCGCCAGCGTCCGGTCAGTGCTGTGAAGCTCGTTTCTTCACGATCTTGCATCCGGCTTGGTTCTTATCTTCGTGCTTGAACTTTGATTGATATCTTGGGTCTTCTCTTGTGCTTCTAGGGTTTTGCTTATGGTGTTGATCATCGGATCATCATGTCGCCTTCGTCCAAGTCACGTCTTGCACGCTATTGAACAACAAAACAATCACTTGCAAATTCATTAGTTTAATTGGTTGTGTTGGTCATCAAACACCAAAATCCAAAGTAAATGGGCCTAGGGCCCATTTACCTTACACCCCCATACACCTGTAAAGAATCGACCCCGCTGGTGAGGGCACGATGTAAATTCACTCTACCCCGGGTATGGTCTATAAATACCCAGGTGGGTGGCGCTATAACGATGATGAATTAATAGCCATTTACTCTAGAATTTATCACAGCGCCTAACTGCTCTGTTAGTCCTACCTTTGCTTTCCTTTTTCCCAATGCGAACCCTTAGCCTCCTCCGTGCAGATCCCTAGTGAGGATACAAGGACAGATGAAGCCCCCACATCACTATAGAAGCGTCGCAATTAGGAGCCGCCTCCACCCAAAAATGCTCTCATTGCTGACAATCATTATTGTAGTTGTGATAGCCATCGCAACACTATTGGACCGCCATTGTAGCACTGATGTCAACATTGTTGGATCCAGGATGCCCAATCCGCCTCATTTTCGCCAGAGACCAACTGAACCACTGCCAATTTCCTGGACGTCATTAGTGAAGAAAAAGCTACCCTCGATCTAGAGTTACGGATTGGAGAAGGGAACAGGGAATGGTTCAGGTAGTGGGGGTGTGAGCTCATGACGCTATGTGTTTGAACAGGGGCAAAAGGGTCCATAGGCAAATATAGTATGTGTGTTCACGACGTCATCAACGACGGTAGTTGGGTAGAGCATGGGAAATGACTATTGTGCCCCCATACACCTGTAAAGAATCGACCCTGCTGGTGAGGGCGCGATGTAAATTCACTCCACCCCAGGTATGGTCTATAAATACCCGGGTGGGTTGCACTATAATGATGATGAATTAATAGGCATTTACTCCATAATTTATCACAATGCCTAACTGCTCTATTAGTCCTACCTTTGCTGTCCTTTTTTCCAATGCGAACCCTTGGCCTCCTCCATGCTGATCCCTAGTGAGGATACAAGACCAGAGGAAGCCCCCACATCACTATAGAAGCGTCTCAATCAGGAGCCGCCTCCGCCCAAAAATGCTCTCATTGCTGACAATCATTATTGTAGTAGTGATAGCCATCGCAACACTATTGGACCACCATTGTAGCACTGATGTCAACATTGTTGGATCGAGGATGCCCAATCCGCCTCATTTTTGCCAAAGACCAAGTGAACCGCTGCCAATTTCCTAGACGTCGTTGGTGAAGAAAAAGCTGCCCTTGATCTAGAGTTAGGGATTGGAGAAGGGAACGCAGAACGGTTCGGGTATGCGGGTGAACGCCCTAGTTTGGTTTTGGTTAATTGATGAAACCTATTTGGACTAACCCTATGCTCTAAGTGTGAATTTTAGATAGGTTGGTCCAACCCAAGTGATGGAGCTAAGTGGCACTCATGGGTGGAGATGGCCACATAAAATGAAGATCATGGTGATGGTGTGGACATGTGATGATGATCAAGCTTCGGGATTTTGAAAAGAAGAAAGAGAAAAAAACAAAATGGGCTCAAGGCAAAGGTATAATGAATAGGGCCATTTTGTTTTGGTGATCAAGACACTATAGAGAGTGTGATCACATTTAGGATAGATGGTCGTACTATTAAGAGGGGAGCTCTTATCGATAACTCGATCATCTAGTGCCATAGGTGTTGGAAAACTTGCATATGCATTTTAGACCTAGTGCACAATCGGTGAGAAGTGATTAACCTTTGAAAAATGATTGTAAAAATGCTAACACACTTGCACTTGATGGTGAAACACTTGTGGTGTTGGCACATTTGCAAAGGTGGTGAAAAAGGTGAAGAAAAGGAGGCGAAACCAGGCTTAGGGTGCTGCCCTAGGGGCACTGTGATGCCCTGCCCGGTGCACCGCCACCCCTAGGGCGGTGACCGTTTGGGAGAGGCCAAGAGGGAGAAGTTTGGGCAGGGCAATGCCACCCTGTCCTGTGGCACCGCGACCCCTAGGGCGGTGCCCACCTAGACTCGGCCAAGAAGAGCAGCGTGGGCGCAGTCACCGCTGCGTCCGGTGTTCACCACCTCGGCGAGGGCGGTGCACCGCCTGGTCACCGCCGCTGGTAGGGTGGTGCCACTACCGCTTTTCACCCAAGAGCTACCGTAGTGGGGTTGGTCACCGCCAGGGCACCGCTGTGCCTAGGGCGGTGTACCGCCGCTTTTTTCCAGAGAGCGGGGAAACCGAGGGGCTAGCCTGGGTGGTCACCGCCACCCCTAGTGTGGAGCCACTAGCACCCTGTTCGGTGCCCCAACGGCTACTAGCCGTTGGAATTTGACCATTGGGAAGGGCACCGCCGTGTTCGGTGCCCTCGCAGAAACCAGCTCTAAGGGGTAACAGCTCTATTTGCTTGTGGGCTTATAAATAGAGGTGGTGGCCGGCCTTGGCCACTCTCTTGGCACTTCCCACACCTGTGTACACCCTTTGGGAGCTGAGCACACCACTACACTCACTTGTACACTTGATTTCATCATCTTGAGTGATATTGGAGAGCCTCTAGTGCATTGCTTAGTGTTCTAGAATCTTGTGGCACTAGTTGGGCAATTTGGGCTAGTGGAGATCTTGTTATTCTTGGTGTTTGCTGACACCTAGACAGCCTGGTGATTGGAGGATCGTCGAGCGGAGGAAGGTGATTGTCTCCGGCTTCGATCGTTGTGATTGTGAGGGGTTCTTGTGCCTTCCCCGGCGGAGCGCCAAAGGCAACTCTAGTGGATTGCGCGTGGCTTGTGAATTCTCATCTTGTGTTAGTTGTGAGGCACTTGGTTGTGGGTTAGGCGTGTGAGCCTATTAGCGCATGAACCTCCAAGTGAGTGTATCGCCACAACGGGGACTAGCTTGCCGGCAAGCAAGTGAACCTCGGAGGAAAAATTGATTGTGTCATCATTTTCTCCTTGGTATTCTTTGATATTCATTGATTGATCACTTGCCACGGCAGTACATCCTATACCCATTCTCCACCACCACCTCAGCTATGGGCACATTGGAACCTTGGAGAACCCTGGTGTAGCGGGACCAGTGAGCAGGGTCACGCAAGGGCATAAGGACATAGTGTGCCCTAATCTTCCCAGTATCAAACCTCCCCTTCAGTGTGAAATCACCGCCAAACTTTGCATTCAAACGGACACAAAGGTCGTTGAAGCTAGGAGGTTCATCAAGCCATTCCAATTCTTCTTCCATATCCTCAAACATACCATCTTCTCTCCTAACACTTCCTCTATACAAAATTCTAACACAACAATCCATCTGCAAAAGCATTTCAAGAAACTTCATCAAATCGTCGAAATCGTCGTACATAATGTCCATAGTAATATTAATACAAATTCTAACTATAACTATACTAACTAATCTAATATTAACATCTATACAAGGCTAACTACAACAACTAATTAGACTAAATCCAATATATAACTAGACTCAATAACTGTACAAACTAAACTACTTAACTTTACTGCATATACTAACTTACTATATTACCTATACTAACTAAACTAACTAACTTTACTAACTATACTAACTATATTTTAATAATTTTACTAACTTTATTAGGGGAGTACCTCGCTGCAGCGCGCTAGACCGGGCCGGGAGGCGCGGGCGCAGTCCTCGGCGGGCAGCCGCCGTGCGTGGCCGGAGGGGGTGGCGCACCGGCGTGCGGGCTCGGTGGCCGCACTGGGCGGCCGGCGGCCGTGCCGTGCTCGGTGGCGGCCTGGCTGGCACGGGCGGACGCGGCCGCGGCGGCCGGCGTGCTCGGCGGCGGGCTGGCGCGGTGGCTAGGCGGCCTTGCTGCGCGGCTCGGGCAACGACGGCTGCTCGGCCACTAGCGGACGTGGGCCGCGCCGGGGTTTTATTCGGCTCTACCACGCCACGGATCAGGGCGTGGCAGTGCCACGCCAAGATCGGTGGCGCGGCAGGCCCTGCCTCGTCAGCGGTCAGCGATTCCGGTCGCCGCCACGTCAGCCCTCTGCCGCGCCACCATGCATGACGCGGCACAGGCATTTGGCCGCGCCAGGGCAATAGGCGCGGCCAAAAGTGTTAGTTTTTAAAAAAAACCGACAGTGTTAAATTTAAAATTAGTTTCCAAAAAGTGTTAAAATTACGGAGAGAAGAAGCAATCATCAACTCCATATAAGAACCGAAAGCCCACTTGGCTGTCCTTTCCGGTGGCCCGTGGCCGTGCTTCTCCTGCTGAATCAGAACGTGGTGTGGGGACACCATTGACATGCATGCTCGGTTTTACTTGCTCCATGTAAATGAGCCATCTTGGACTCATCTTGACTGTCTTGCATCTGTCGTCCATTTTTTCCCCATTATTATATACAGCATTGGAAAGAGATAAGGCAGCTGACCTATAAAGAATTTCCTCAAATTTCTGGTATACCCTCCGAATTAAATTCATAGTTAGTTCTGGGCCCACCAAATTTAAGTTCCAGTCTACAACTTAGCTTCCAACTATTAGGTTCTTTTAATTTTTAACGGTTATATCTAGATGAATGAATGGCTCTCATTATTTTCAAGAACCATAAAATTCTCTTATTGCAATATAGTCTGACTTATTAGATCAGATCTAGAATCCAGAATTACATTCTTGTCGGACAGAGATATGGTACATAAAAAGACATTACAACATATCGTTTTGGAAAAAAATTTCTGATAAATGTTTTTATGACAAATAAGTGCTTCTCAACATTTCTTAAACTATGATTATTCATCTACCTGAGGAATACGAGGTATGGGACGTAAAAGCAGTTCGGCCTTCCTCCTCACTTCAAGTCCACAAGACTCCGTCATGTCTAGTTCCTCCGGCCCGACTCCCTTGGGCAGTGCCCAATCAAAATGGTATAGGAGGCTAGCCAAAGCAAACTCAATATTTGCTTGCGAGAAAGCTATCCCAGGGCAAATTCGTCGCCCGGCCCCGAATGGTATGAATTCGAAGTCTGACCCCATGAAGTTGAAGGTCTGCTCGGCCTCAAACCTTTCTGGCATGAACTTGTCTGGATCTTGGCCTTGCCAGTAGTTAGGGTCCCTAGAGATTGCCCATACGTTTGCAACAAGTATTGTCCCTTTTGGCACATCGTATCCTTGAATCTTACGGTCTTGTGTGCAAAATCTAGGGGTTAGTGGAATAGGAGGGTGTAGCCGTAAAGTCTCTTTGATCACTGCATTGAGGTAGCCCATGTCTCTTACAGCTACCTCGCGCACTCGACCCTGACCTGCGAGGACGCGGCGGATCTCCGACTGAACCTTCTCCATCACCGTTGGATTTGCCATTAGTTCGGCCATGGCCCATCGAAGGGTAGATGTTGTTGCCTTGATAGCTGCAACAAACACATCCTGCCCAACACATCCAAGCACGCGAGTAAGATCTAATGGAGGCATCATATTAGTGCTCACTAAACGTGCTAAAAAAAAGATAAATCTTAAAAATTCACACAATGATAAAAAGCAACTGGCCTTTAAATTGATAGACTCTAATCATCATCACATGTAACAGCCATTGGATCTGTTATAATTTATATAAAAAAATCACCCACCTTGCCATTATGAAAAAATATACATAGAGTAACCACCTAATTTTGCGTCTAAATTATCCACCAATGGCATTATAAAAGATAATTCAAAATAACCCCCTAAATTTGCATCTAAAGTATTCATATTGCCATTATTAAAGATAATCCAAAATTACCTGGTAACATTGCATCTAAATTACCCACTTTGTCATTATATGAGGACAATTCAATATAACTCTCCAACTTTGTATCTAAATTACCCTCATCTGCCATTATGAGAGGTGATTTAAAATACCACTTAACAATTTTAGAAATTACTCACCTATGTCATTATGAAAGATAAGCTATGTTGTCATTATGAAAGATAATGCAAATAACCCTAAGTGTGCATTAAACCTACACATATATGCTATCACGAGAGATAATATAAAGTAACACCTTTATATTTGTTTCTACCTTAGCTATTACAAGAAATGAACAAAAATATCTCTCAGATCTACATGTTTATACTAATATGCACAAAAAATAATTTAACATCCATAAAGTATGCAATATATATTTCTAAATTACACAACGTACGACTATAAAGTTAGAAGAATCGTAGTACTATTCCATCATATAGACCAAGTGAACATGTATGTATAGGATAAACATTTATCTTACTAGAATATGAAACATGAAAAAATATTCACTTAACAAAACACACAACAATAACACTAATAGTTTACTTTAATTTATATTAACGCCAATGATAATAACTATCATAATTTGATATTTTGAATAAGTTTAAACATTTTGACTAAAATATCATGTCATATCAATATTAGTATATTATTTTTTAGTACTCTATGTTATATAAAACAATAATATTACACATATAATCCTGTGATATAACGAACTCAACATGTTGAGTGCTGGGGTGCAAGCTGTGTTTCAACTTAGTATGTGAAAAACAATACTACTAGGATCTAAACTCATTTTTAATAAAATAAAAAATAAAATTTTTAATAAAAGATAAAACGACTAGAGTTCCAACTTCACACGTGCAAAAATTGCAACAATTAGATTAAAAATTTAAACCTAAACTATAGATTGATGAAGTCATAGAAGGGGATGCAACAAGAGCTTATATATCTTAAGCTTGGGTTTCAACTAAATACATATCACGTTAAAAAGGATGAATACTAGAAATTCTAACTAGAGCCCCAATGGATATTCCACTTTGATCCTCATGAGACCTAATAGAAAAAAGATAAATCCTAGAAATCCTCACATAAACATCTGACCTTCAATTTGATAGAATCTAATCACCAATGAAAATAATGCCTATCAAATATTTTTCTATTTAATAAATAATAACCCACCTATGCTATTGCACAAAATGGCATAAAGTTACCCACATATGCCATTAAGAAACAAGATCCAAAGTAAACCTAACTTTGCATCTAATTATCCACCTCCCCGTGTTACAGTAGGTAATCCACGTAACCCCTTAAATTTGCATCTCACTATTAGAAAAACTGAATATGCCCTCGAATCAACATCTAAATATCAACTTCTTCTATTACAAAAAAAAAGTTTAAATAACCATAAAGAATATTTATGTTTATATGTTACCTAGTTCTATTGATATTAATATATTAAAAAATTTGGTCAAAGTAAATATACATGTCGTGCCAATTTGCATGATCGATAAATATATATGTTATGTTTCAGCACATAAAAAATATTTCCTTATCAACTCATATTTTAATGATACTAACAAATTGTTTAAAACCATATTAGTAACCATGACATATAATTTGTATAGTTTGTTAGTTTAGATATATGTATACATTTTAATTAAAATGTTTGATATATCTATAATTGGTAGTACAACCACTACTGCACATACAATTTCTTTATAGGAAAAATAAATAATCACATTGAGAATTGGGAGAGACCACCAGTGGCCTTTAATATCCCTTTAGAATAAACATGCATATAAGGTTTAAATATTAATATTCTCTAGAGGGTAGCACCGCTACCGATTGGAGCTTTCACTTCAAGTTCAACCAATTATCTTAAGTGACATGGATTTTAGCCCGTGCAAGAGTACGGATTGATGGACTGGTGGACAGAACTTGTAAATTGTTTCTTATGAGTTGCTTTTTTTTTTGGTTGTACTCTCGTGAAAAGTTATAAAAATTCAGATAGAGGAAATAAGCAATCCATGAAAAAAAAGTTGAAGTACGTAATCAAGGTGGAAGTAGAACATCCAAATGTAATCAGTGAGACGGGAGATATTACAATTAGCATATCCATGATGATTCCGTGCGTGAGAGAAACTCCCATGGCGCCTTCACTCTGTATCCTCAGCAGCACGTCGACCATGTCCTGCTCGCCGGCAGCAGCAGCTTCTCCGGAGGACCTCCTCTCCTCGTGAATGCGAAGGATACCTTCCATGAGGCGGACCACCTCCAGCCTGTTCCGCTCCGCCTTGCTGTTGCGCGGCAGCATCCGCACGAGCCACGACGACGGGAACAGGTCCCTCAGGTCGAAGAGCGACGAGAACTCCAGAGCCTGCTCCAGCGTGTCGAGGAGCGCGGCTCGGTCGGGCATCGTCATGTCGCCAAAGATGGCGCGCACCGCCAAGTCCGTAACGAACACGGCGAGGCGCTCGTCGATGTTGGCGAGCTGGTCCGACGGAGACGCCGCCGCCGCCGCCGTGGCATGCAGAGACGACACGAGGCGGGCCGCCTCCTGCTCCCGGATGCGCCTGAAGGACTCGACGCGCTGCGCGCTGAGGAGCTCGGTCACGAGGACCCGCCGGAGCAGCCGCCAGTGGTCGCCGTAGGGCGCGAAGACGATCCCCATGCCGTGCCTCGAGTAGAGCTCGTCGAGCGCCGGGCTGGTCGGCCGCTGCTCGAAGGCGGTGTCGCCGAACACCTCCCTCGCGGCTTCGGCGGAGGAGACGACGACGACGAGGCGCTCACAGATCCTGAGCAGCATGAGCTGGCCGTGGCGCAGGGAAAGGTTGCGCATGCGGTGGTGCGGGAGCCTGCGGCTCAGCAGGCAGTGGGAGCTGCCGATCAGGGGCAGCTGCCACGGTCCGGGAGGCAGCTTCGGCCCGAGCTTCTTGCTCGCGCCGAACTTAGCGCGGACCACGGCATGGACGAGGAAAACAAGGAAAATGCACAGGGCGTAGCACCCGTAGCACTGTGGCATGCCAAACTCCTCCATGGTGCTCCGCCAGATGAGAGATTTCCAAGTTTATCCGTGTATGTCCACCCGACGATATATGAGTTATTAAATGCACCGGCGGCGCTCGAACCTATAAGCATGCACGTGCAACATATAACGTGACGCCTGTTACGTAGGTATTTCTTATTAAATTTACACCGCAGATCCATGCATGTTATGTAGGCATTTCTTGTTGACGTGGCATGCTAACGTGGCACATATTTTTCATTTAACCTCACATATTTTTTTTTCTAAAAAAATAGACCCTATCTTCTCTTCTCGCACCTCACATGGTCGCATGAACCACCGCGAGACCGAGAGGCATGGGCCTGTGGGAGGTGAAAGAGGAGATGGGATGGCCTATTTTTTTAAAAAGAAAAATAAATGTGAGAGGTTAAATAAAAAATGCATGACTCTCTAGTATGCCACACCACTAAGAAATTCTTACTTGGCTTTGGCTATAACATCGACATGTGGTGCACCACTTAACAAGTATAGAAACCCAAAAATCCATTATTTAAGTTTATGGACTTATAGGACACACGCTTACAAGTCTAAAGGCCACTGGTGTATTTATCTCGGATATATAATTTCCATGGTGCACCACAAGTTTATAATGGAAGTGACCTTAAAAAATCATTTTCACAGCTAGTTCCTAGCACGAACAAGGGTGATCAGAGTTTATTTTCAGGGTTAGCTGGAAAAACAATCCAGTTGTGAAAATACATTCCGACCAAAAACCAGTTCGGCTTTGTCTCCCTCTCCCTCCACACTATTCTCCTTTCTCACTCCTTATCACATTCCTCTCTACCATAGCCTGCACAGACTCCTCTCCGCCACCGCCCCACCAAGCCTCCTTCCTCCACCACGTCCGAAGACTAGCACAAATGACATGAGCAGAGATTCCTCAGGCGATGGCACAAAGCGGCCCCTCCAAGCGACAACGTGCGGGGGCTCCCGTCATCCTCCGGGTCTTCTCTTTCGCTCTCACACTCCGTCTCCATCTCCTCCAGATTTGGCAGAGACGAGCTCGGTGGTGGAGGAAGCTACAGGAGGGGCAACATCTCGCTCGTGGAGAAACTCTTGACCGGCGCCGATAGGATATGCGAGGGCTTGGGAGCTGTCCTCGTTAGCGGCGGGTTCTAGTATGGCAGCATCGGAGGTAACGGTCTCGGTAGCGGCTCAGTGGTGGAGGACCCAGTACCGTGTGGCTCAGTGGCGGCGATGGGCTCACTGGGCATGGCGACAACAATGATTTATTTATATTTTATATATAATTATCACCCCAGTTTGCAACCGACAGTGATGACCTTTGTTTTCATTGCCGACTATCACTGTTAATAGAAAGACCGGTGGCGATAGGCCTTTACGAGCCAACAGTGATGAGATATGTGTAGTAGTGCATTATCTGAGGTCGTTGTTGTAAGGTAACCGCCGCTGTTAGTAGAGTGTTAATAGAGCGAGTTTTTATATAAGCCTGCTTCGCAATGACAAACAGAAGCGTCCATCAACACCACTTTTATCTTCATCTTTTAAATTTTTTGTCGATCGGTCTTGGTTTTTAGACTGTCATTGATGAAAAAACCTCAGCATCACTTATATAAAGATGAAAATTTACATTGCCTGGATCACTTTCTTTGAACCTACGCTACTTATAGGAGGCATTTCCGTAACATATAAAGAGCTTGGAGAAGGACTTCTCCTTGCTGTTGCTCCCATCCTTTCACAGGAGACAGATAGAGATGCATATATTAAAGTAGAGATATAGACCTAAACCAATAAGAAATCGTGTGTTTTTTGTAAGCACAAAAGTTATTGTCTAGAAATCCATTCCATGCAAAATTATCGAAAACGAAAGAAAGAAATGTCTACACCAATCTATTCAATGCCGGAATTTGACCTGCTATTAATGTGGGTATTTCAGTTTCCAGAGTTTTCTTACCTTCGAAGATTCATATATTCAACCAACAATTGTTTCTATTTTCATTTGGTCTAGTTGATGGGAATATACTTATACTTGTAAATGTAGAAACTCGTAACATGTAGGGCTAAATATTAATGAAATCTTACTATTTGTTTTTTTCTCCAATTGCGCTAAGTTTTTTGTTTGCTCTGTTGAGCTCTTTGGTTTTAGTACAAGTAGTGTTCAGACTTGAACATCCACCTTAAAGGTAGATTTTTCAGTTGCCACCACTGTAAGGAAAATGGATCTTAGGCCCATTTACTTTGGATTTTGGTGTTTGATGACCAACACAACCAAATTGTACTAATGAATTTGCAAGTAATTGTTTGTAGTTCAATAGAGTGTAAGACATGACTTGGACGAAGGCGACATGATGATCCCACAATCAACACCATAAGCAAGACCCTAGAAGCACAAGAGAAGACCCAAGATATCAAGCAAAGTCCAAGCCCGACGATGGGAACCAAGCCAGACGCAAGATCGCGAAGAAACGAGCTCGGCAGAGGTGACCGAACGCATCCGATCAGTTGCTCGGCAATAGCAGGCGTCAGCAGCAGCGATCGGATGCTGAGCGAGGCAGTGACCGGACGCACGGACTTCACTGTTCATCGTCAACGGCAACACTCTCAGCGTGACCGGATGCGACGGCAGGACGATCGGACGTACGAAGAAGTAGCGTCCGATCATGTCCAAAAAGGTTCTAGAGCGGTGCCAGCACGATTGGATGCGTCTGATCGAGTGAGACCGGACTCAGCCCAGAGTCCGATCAACGCGCGCGCTCCAACGGTCGGCAGGACCGGACATGTCCGATCAGGACGTGATCAGCGTTCGGTCACTAGCAGAAAGTTGGGTCTCAGGTCCAACGGCTAGTTCTCACTTGTGGGGCTATAAATATGCCTCCAACCAGCCATTTGAGTGTGGAGAGCTAAGGAAACATATCAAGGGTGTTGATACACCACTTTAGTGATCTCCACTTGCATAGGGCTTAGTGATACATTCCGTGATTAGCGTAGGTGCTTTGCGAAGTGCTTAGGTTAGTTAGACCACAACTTATGCGCTTGCTCTAGGTTTAGGCCAAGTGTTTAGTGAGGTTTGCACACCTTTTACCACTCGGTGCGTGCCGCACCATTGTTGTACATCGGATGGGCTTGTAGTCTTGCGAGATCACACCAACCGCGTTTATGGTGTGGCCGCCACCGTGTACCGAAGGGAACAAGGCCCGCGGTGGTTCGGCTGGAAGCTTGATAGTGAAGATGGCAGGATGCGGTCTGGGAGAGGCTTGCCGGAAGGCGCACCGGAGACCCACTTGCGCGTGGGGAAGGCCCGGGGCTATCCATGGAGTTACCCGACCGGGAGCTTGGCCCTTGCGAGGGACTCCTTGCGAGGGGCTCCAACGAGGAATAGAGGGAAGCTTGCGCGCTTCTCGATACCTCGTTAAAAATACCGGAGTCGTCGACGCGAGTTTGTATATCTCTACCTTACTCTTTAGCTTCCGCATTTACATTGTAATCTTGGTGTGTGCTTTACTTTCCTAGCTAAGGTTGATAGGTTTGGAACCTAGGTTGCATAAGTCCTTTTTGCAGTAGAGATAGCAACATACTAGTAAAACCGTAGTTGCACGTTTAGATGGTTTATCTTTTGCATAGGTTTTTGCTAAGGATAGAAAAAGAGGTCATAGTTTAGAGTTAGAGTGTTAAGTTGCCTAATTCAACCCCCCTCTTAGGCGTCACGGTCCCTTACAGCCACTTGTTTTCTTTTCCGGCTCTCATTATTGGAGGCTTATCGATCATTCCACAAAAACAATTTCTACAGATCAATCTAAACCTAGAAATTCGATAAAATAAAGCGCAAAAGAATTGATAGCAATACTAACTAGAAAGTAACAAATCTTGCATCTTGACGCAAATCTGAGCCTTTTATTTTCTCAAAAATAATTCCAGTACATAGTTTGCAATGTCCGTAGTCTACAAGAATTAAAACAATGTCATAATCTTTTATTTCATCCCTTTAATTTCATATTTTTAGCACAAGTTGATTTAAGTCTTGCAAGCTACAAATGCATATAACCTATATATGGTTGGATGGCTAGTTCAGTAACAGCCCGCAAAATCTAGTCACGGGCCGAGCCTAGATATGTGTACCACATCTCTTACAGTTTCGTCCTTATTTTGAATAAAAGGTTTAACCCGGTGATCCTTTGTTTAGAGTGACAAGGATAATATCCCTTCAAAACTTATTCAAGATGGTACTAAATACACTAACTAGTGCAAAAATGTCTTCATCTGAGTATACAAAGTTGTATATCGCGTCGAGCTCTACAATTTTGATATAAATTTTTTTTTCATCTGAGTATAAATAGTAAAGATATGAAGTTTTTTGGGACAACTATTTTTAGAGGTGGGCTCATAGAATGGCGGCCTCTATTAATCTATATCTAGATGAGGATCCGTAGAATGTGCACTTCTGTTAATAGTCATTTTCAGAGGCAAGCATGTCCGCCTTAGGACCCGCCTCTATTAATAGTCGATTGATGATTAATAGTTGGAGAATGACTGCCTCTGAAAATGATCAACAGAGATGGGAATTTGCCTAAGTCCCTCCTCACCATTTATAGAGACGACACATAAAAGTACCTGCCTTTAATAATCAAGACGGCATGTGTCGGGTTCATAAACCCGGGGCCCCTCGAGGACCGGCTTCTACGCCAGGGCTTGGCCCAGGAAAACAGCATGTAGTTCGTGGGCCGGCCCAAGAGCCTAAGACACGACGGGCCGGAGGGACAGTCCGGTTGCCGACCGGAAGGTCTACCCAAAAACAGGCGCTCGCTCGTCAACCTCTCCGGCCCACCTCTCCGACCGAAGCATTCGCTTTGGGCACCAGCCGCCTCCGGGCGGTATCCCCGATCGGAAAGGCCTGGCCCAAAGCACCGCTTTCTACTCCGACCCCGCGTCTCCGACCGGGGACCCCGTAGGAAGCCTGCTTACCACTCTTCTCCGACTGGCGCGGCCAGGGCCGACTGGGGCCATCCGACCGGGGA